ATTGTTTTAATACACAATAATGTATTTGTAAAGCAAATCACTGAATTTGGCTGTTTATTATATGTATTTGTAGGAAAAGTTTTAACCCAATATATGTTTGAAGTGTCACACTGCTCCAAGCAATTTTGTGCTGAAGTACCTTGAAAAAGGAGTGCGTTTCTCTCATTATATGTGCTGAGACATGCACACAAATATCTTTAAGGGAGAGATGTTCCTTGTAGAACAACTTAATGTGATCTGACTGTTCAATGCATTGTTCATTAAATCTTTCTGAATTTAAGCACAGAAGTATTTCATTCACTGCAAGTGATATAATAAAAGTTTCCACAAACATTAGTATCACAAATGGGATTCCCAGCACCATTGCTTCACCTACAGAACTGGACAGATTGGAGCCAGAGATGCATTAGTTCTCCACTCTGCAAAGCTCTTCAGCTTCCAGTGACATCAGAAGCCCCTCTACAAGGCACCCTCCTATTCCTGTCCTGTCAACCACTGTAGGACCAGTGGATTTACAAGAAGCAGCACAGGCTATGGACCTGCTCTTCCTTATTGTCTACTTAGCCACCCATGAGCTCACAGGCACCTATGAAAGCCAATGCCTTCTCCTCTTCTAAGCGCTGCTCACACACCAATGACTTCAGGACTATGGCACATGCCAGGTTATTTTCCTTCCCTGTAGCTAATAAGCCACAAGTTACAACACAGTCACCTGTATAAGCCAGTCCCAAGTTCTTTTTCACCACCCAGACTCATACTGATGGGATCACTGATGCTTACTGAGACCTGCCACTGCAGTATTGGTGAAAAAAACACTATGCAAGGTGCCTGAGCCCTCTTATTTGGCAGGAATGGAAGACCTTCTCTGTACAAGGGCTCCAGATTCTGCTAGTGTACCCATGATGGAAGTGAACATTGCTGAGAGCATGCATTACCCACCCCCTCTGGTGCAATCTCTGGGCACACTGCTGTGAGTCAGTGTCCCTGGCACTAACCCAGAGATTGGAATGCTGGTTTGTGTGAGGGCCACTGTTCCATCACAGACACTGTGTGCCTGCATCCCAGGGTATGCTTGGTATGCTGACAGTGGCAATGCTGCTGCTTGAGTGGAACATTTACTTCTAAGCACTGTGCTGATCTCCATCACTCTCCAAGCTGATCAGAACGCTGTTGTGTGCAAGGTTTCTTCCACAATGCTGCTATTTCTGAGAGGTCTGGGAGAGGTACTGTATGTAAAGATCCCTGCTACTCCTGGGATAAGGAGTAGCCTCCAAAAATGTGGAGGGTACAGCCCCAGCCCTCCCACAGTGACTCTCCCTGCAGAAGGGCCCAGAAGTTCCTGGGATGCCTCATGTTTTTTTCTCTGGTTTGTATGTGGAGGTGCTGCTGCAGCTCCACCACTGGGCTTTGACTGAGGTAGGGGCTGTAGGAAAAGGCTCAAAGTAGCACTATAGTACTTGGAGAGAGTTTATTTTTAAAATATTACCTTTTTCCTAGGGTATTTTTTCAATGTGGAGAGGTGACATCCTGGTGTTTTGCCAGTGGGCTGGATCAGCACAAAATACATAGACACCAGCTTAAGGAATAGGTATTTACAATAGTTCAAAGCTGCAAAGAATCTCAAAAGGAGAAGCTCAGCAATGCACCTCACCATTAGTACAAAAAATCGTCTATAGTGATTAAGATCCATCACTGGTTACCCTCAGACTTCACCATCATGGAGATCCACACATCAGCTGGGGAGCCCCTGTCACAGCAAAGTAATGGAGAGCCATTCTTGGTAACTGGGAATTGGTAACTGGGAATTCCTACATGGTGCATCCACTTACAGGAGAGGCTTCCAACCTGGCTGTGAGAGGGATCAGCTTTTATAGTGCTGAATAAACAAGCTGAAATCACTTCTAGTGTGAAAACATCAGATTTCATCTTTCTCTTGGGTTCCACCCAAAGCCTGTCCAGGGCTCCATGAGGAACCAAAGGAGTTGGCTTTGACTACATACCTACAAAGAAGGCCAGATATCTGATTTCATGACCTTGTTCAGCTTCTAAATACAGAAAGGTAACTACATGTTTCACTAAYGAGCTAATGATCATGCCTATTTTGTTAATGAGTGGATACAAATATAATATTTGGTTCGAAGGTCCCTCTAAAAGTAAATTTTGGCTCAGGGCCTGTTGTTCAGGCCTTAGTACTTCACCTGAGGCATCCTGATGGAAGCACTGGAGTATTTTGTGCTGAGCATGTGTGAGGAGCCATTTTAATCTTGGTTTGCCTCAACACTGCTTGTTAGAGGCATGTGGGGGAAGGAGTGCACACATGCAGGTTGCAGGAGACAAACAGGAGATAGATGAAACCTTGTCTCTGGGGGGATTTTGCCTGGTAACACCTCAGATGGGCACCTGGAGACACTGCTCCCCCCAGAGACATTTCTCCAATCAGATGGTGGAAGAGCTCCACCAATGGAAGAAGCTTGGACTGGACCAATGGTCTCCTGGTCACAGGCAGACTTTGGGAAGAGCCAGGGGGTAGAAAAAAATCAACTGCGCCATGAGCCTTTGGGGAGCTGAATTCAAGGGAGTTGAGTTTTTGGCGCTGAGTTTTGAGAAGCTGAACTTCGCGGACTTTGCTGAGCTGGAGTTGGGTGTGGTTGTCTGTCTCTGTGCGTGTGGCTGCGGTTTTTTGCTCTTTGTTGCTCACTGCTGGTGGGCTTGCTGTTGAGGGTTCCCTTTTGCCCCAACTCCAGCCTGCCTGGATTTTGCCCTCGCTAGCTCTCTCTGGCCCCCACGTATCTGCCTTCCCTCTGCCGGGCGCTCGGCAGGACGCCGTCTGCCCTCCAAGCCTCGAGTGCAGTGTCTGCCTTGCCCCGCTCCTTCACCTGACCCAGCCGCCGCCTGTCTTGCCTGAGCACCTGCCTGCCTCCAACCTCGCCCACCGCCGCGATCCTCACCTCGACTCCACCCAGGGTCCCGGACCTGTCCGAGTGTCCACTCACCGCGTGTCCAGCAGCCCATCACCGCGGGGCCGCTCCTCTCCCTGAGCTGCTCTCCCTCCGGCAGCAGCGTACTCACCCCCTTCACGTGGACACCGACGGCATCCCCTGGTCCTGCTGGTGGTAACGCCCGCTCGCTCCCTCTGTCTCCTTTGTCTCTCTCTCCATTCCTTTTCCATTTCCCTTTCTCGTTTGCTGTTTTTTTCCAGCCCCCTTTAGTGGGCAACTACTTCTTCTCGGTTTTTGTTACCAATAAATGGTTCTCAGATACAAATTTTGTCTCGTTTGACTTCATTTCGTTCTCAACTGTCCATTTTGAAATAACTTGCAGTTTCCCCACGGTTGGGACGCGACAGCATGTTAAAGAAACTTACATTCAAATAACCACACATGGGTTATGAAGGTGCAAACAATCTGTCCAAAGTTTGCTTTAAGAAGCCAAAGTTGCAGTCAAGCTTGCCAAGTACGTATGAAAGCACTAGGGATCAGAGGCTGCTGGTCTTGCCTCCAGTGGTGAGGAATCACGCGGACCTTCCCTTGCTGTTGCTCTGCTCACCTACTTCAGAGCCTTCAGGGTCTAATGTTATTGTTCCTCAATTGCTCCTGGGATCTCCCATGCAATATCTGCAGAGTTGGACCTTAATGGTGGGTCAGGCAGCGTGGGCTGGGGGAAGTGGAGTGTACCCCTTGGAAGAGGGGGCTTCTTGTGAAGGAAGGGTTTCCCTGCAGATCCACGGGCAGGACAGTGCACTGCCTTCACCCCTGCGTGCGGGTTGGAGGAAATACAGAGAAAAGCTCCCGCGGGGGCATGGAGTGTCACAGCTTCACAGACCCCGGCTCGGGGCCCTTCAGTGCTGAGAGCCAAGGCCAGCCCTGAGCCCACGGGGTGACGCCGTGGCAGTGGGGTGACGGAGGGTCTGGGAGGGGTGAGAGACCTCTAGAACGGGTTGCTGGGCTCCACATGGGAGGATAGTCCTGGTGACGGCTGAGGTGGGAAATGCCTTTGGCTCATTCCCGGCTCTTCAGTGCTGGGGAAGGCTGAGGGCTGGATCTGGGGAGTCGGCGGGGAGCCATAGCGAGCGCCTGGAAGCGCAGGCCGGGGTTTGGATGGGTCGAGCTCGGCCCCACCACCCCGCCGTGCTTGCCCCACGCCTGCCAGGCGACCAGTGACGTGAGAGCAGCACGAATGCCACTGGCGAACGTGCCGTAGCACAGCCAATGGAAAGGTGGGGTGGGCGGGGCAGCGGCGCCGGGGATCTACCTTGGCACCAGGTGACGTCAGGTGCAGTGCGGGTCACCACTGGCAGCTCTCTCGGGCGTGGTGAGGCAGGGGACACTGCTGGCTCCTGCGCCTGGGGATGGGGCACGGGACCCGCGGGGACAGAGGAAGAACGAACGGGGCTGGGGAAGGGGAAGCAGAACCAAGCAGTTTGAGATGCGGAAGGGGCCAGGGCTAAGGTTGGGCATGGGTGGGGAAAGAGAGGGATGGGGAGGTGGGGAAACGGACAGGGATGGAGGAAAGGCACGGTGGGAAGAGGGGTGAGGAGGCAGGTGCCTGGGTGGGCGGGGAGCCGCTTGCCCATGGATTCACCTGGGGTCATGCGGGTGGCTCGAGCCGTCTTTTCTGCTCCTGGTGATGGGTGTGCTGCCTGGCATGGGCTGCATCCACCATCCCTGACTCAGGGAATGTGGCTCCAGAGCATTCCTGTTGTGTACCGTCCTCTCAGCTCTTAGCTCCTGCAGAAGAGGAGGAAGTGAGTGAGGCTGGACAAGGGCAGGAGGCTCTGGTTAGGAGCTCCCACCTGCCATGGCTTGGAGCCAATGGGCCTGGTGCATCTTGGAGGAGGAGACCTCACCTGCATTTGTAGCACCAGGCACAGTGGTGCAGGACCATGATGGTGATGTTGATGCTGAGAGCTAAACTTGAGCTGCCTTGAGGAGAAAGGAGAGAGGGATTGTGCATGCACAGGAGTCCGTGGCTGGAGTCCATAGCTGCTATTAGAGATGGACTCATCCTCCTCCAGACAACTGCATGGGACCCTGCTCCCATTGTGGGTGCCCCCTGCCCCATGGGATGAGAAGGCTGCGGGTGCCCAGGCTGCAGTGGCACACACGGCAGACATAGCTGTGCCCATCACGGGGGCCCACGGCCAGGATACTGCAGAGCTGGTAGGTGAGGTCAGCATTGGGCAGGATGGTGCTGGTAATGAGGCACCGGAGGCACCTCGCAGCCATCCTGCAGCCAGGCCATGCTGATGGGACGGGGATAGAAGCAAACGAGCAGCAGCTGGTCGAGGCTGGGGGTGCAGGCAAAGACTGTGGCCACAGGCAGCTCTGGGGAATGAGAGAAAAGGGGTGGGGAAAGCCCCGGTGGGACATGGCTTGGCCCCAGTGTGAGGGGTTTTGGGGTGACTATTGCAGGGTCAGGGTGGTCTCACCTTGTCTCTCCATAGCTGCCCTCCCATACTTCTCCAGGGTGAGGAAGTTGCTGTGGCATATCCAAGTGGAGAGAAGGTACTCTAGGAGCACTGTGATGGATTTCTGCCTGTTCAGGCTCTTGCTGACCACCTCTGCCACCTGGGATGGCTGCTGGGTCTCCCAGCACTGTTTATCTACCTCAAAAGCTACAAAGTCTCTGCCATCCCAGCTGACATTCAGGAAGCCCCAGTGACGTTGTTTGAACTTGGCCGTAAACCAAAACACCTATGATGTTTCCACACACCGCTCCCCCCCCCCCCCACACACACACAACCGGAGAAGGCAGAGGGGAGAGCAAAAGCCCAATTAACACTAAGATTTATGGCTTTTATATAAGATAACATCATTGAGAGAAAGATACATGCTCCAGAAATGGTGAGACAGGCTGAATAACTTCAGTTGCGAAATAGATGTGTTACTAAAAGCTATTTAAAAACTACTACACCAGGGAGGGGAACTGAGATAGGGAAAAATTTACAAGGAGAAGAAATAAAAATGGACATTTTAAGATGCCTGTTGTTCTTTCTGCGAAACTGTCTCTCCCAGGTCACCCCTCCTCATCCCTCCATGCCTTCCTGAGCACAAGGGGGGCAGAGATGAAAGTTTTAACATAGATCCAGCACTACAGGAGAAGAGTTCTTACAGCTCCAAGCTGTGGAAGTTCTTTTCCCAAGAAACAGCCAGTGTATAACTGTTGATGGCATGGGATTCTTTTCTTTCTTCATGTTCAAGCACCACAGCAACTGCACCTGTCTTCTTGCAAATTTTTCCTTATCTCTGTTGCCCCCCCCCGGGGCAGTAGTTTTTTAGTGGTTTTTAGTAATAAATTTGGTTTGCAACTGAAGTTATTCATCCTGTCTGACCATTTCTGGAGCATATATGTATCTCTCAATCATGTTATCTTATATAAAAGCCATAAATTTTAGTGTTAATTGGGCTTTTGCTCTCCCCTCTGCCTTCTCCGGTGGGGGGGGTGTGGGGGGGGGAGGGGGGGGAGGTGTGGAACGTCATGGGTGCTTTGGCTTTTGGCCAAGTTCAAACCACAACATTTTTGGTGTGTTGGCCGGGAAAAAACGGTTTTAACCCACAACACCCAGCTTGTCATATTGGGGTACAGCAAACACCCTGCACAGAACTGGACCATCAGTGGGTCTGTCAAGGGCAAAAGCCAGTGGAGAGGTCCCATAAGTGTGTGGAACATGGGTGGCATGAGATGGGATATGGCTGAGGGCACATAGAGGGGTGCAGTGGAGAGCAGAGTGCAATGGACATCAGGGCATAAGGTCATGCTTCAGGAGACGGTGGACACCCTACAAGCCCTCTGACCCCTTGGAAGAAATTAGTGGATACCGTGGTGGGGTGCTTGCTTAAAAAGAATTCTGTTGTCCAAAATACTTGCCCCCAATTTTTTTCTTTCCTGATCTTTGATGTGTCAATCCAACAGCTCCAGTGAATTTGGTGGCAGGTCCCTGACAAGCAGAGGGGTTCACTGTGCCAGAAGGCAGAAGCCCTAAGAGGTATTTTCAGTCTGCTGCCCTACCCACTTCTGCTCCCCATATGCTCCAGCAGCTGCAGTGATTCAGGAGCTGTTGCACCCTGTGAGACCCCCACAAATGCAATTCTGGTGAGGAAAATGCCACAGCCAGAACCTGGGAGAAGGACTAGGGCTCTGGCAGGGCTCGTTCCCATACTCACAGTGCTGTTTTGTTTGCTGAACCATGTCACGCACAAATTGGATCATATTGCGTAGAACAATTTTGTACTGGGACAACATATTTTCCCCATCACCCTCAGCTGCAGCCTGGCTGACCCAGGGCCAGTGGAAGTGGATGCTCTGGTTAGCAGAATCCAGTGGAAAGATGGGTATGTCCCCTATGACTCCCAAGCACGACACCTCAGCAGAGCTGATGTTGGCAAAGAAGTCAGTCAGGAGGTTTTGGATAAACTGTGGCTCTGCTAGGGGAGATGATGGATGGGAAGGGTGCAGTAAGGAGATGAGCGGAGGTATTAAAGGAGAAGCAGGGGAAGTGGGGGTGCTGGAGGGGGAACAGGGGATTCAGACTAAATAATAAAAAACTTTTTACTGTGAAGGTAGTAGTGAGACACTGGCACATTACCCAGACATATGGTGGATGCTCCATCCCTGGAAACATTCAAGGCCAGGTTTTTAGGGCTCTGAGCAGGGAAGGTGCCCCTGCCCATGGCAGCACAGTTGGATTGAATGGCCTCTAAAGGTCCCTTTCACCCCAAATCATTCTGCGGTTCTATGACTCTATGCTCTTCATCCTGCTCAGGATTGTTTTCCTGCCTGAACTTCCTCTGACGTCACTGCTCTTTTTCCTTCTCTATTTTACTTTCAACAAAGTGGTTGTCTCCTGCAGAGGATTTTGGGCATTTTGTCCCCTTCACCCCTGCCTCCCTCCTGGCCAATGCTGCTGTCTGACTGCAGAGCAGATGAAGGGGCACCTCACTGCTCATTTGGGGTGATGTTTTCCCCCAGGAGAAGCACCTGTGCTGGGACCTGTATCTGCCAAAGACCTGCACATAGTGCAGAGGATATGGAGGATGGTTGATAGGAAAGGGCATTTTGTCCAGGTTTGGGGCTCCCTGATAGGGCCAGGACATCAGCCCAACCCAGAGATCAATACTGCTTTTCTGTGTCTGGTGCTGCCTGCCCTGGAAGCATGAGGTCTCATGGGGCTGTGGTAAAATGCTCTGTGTAACAGCAGTGCCCAAAATACCCTCTTGCAGGTGGAGCTTCCTAACGAACGAGTGGCTGCTGGAAGGGGCTCTCTGCATGATGTGGAGCTGAGGCCCACCTGGCAACCATGGGCTCCTGGCAGGGGGAGGATATCCTGGGGGAAACCTCAATACCCAAGGCCTGGCTGGGGACCGCTGGTGTCTCTTCTTGTGTGCCCAAGGCCCTGTGTTGGAGCTGATGTAGCAGAAGTCCTGAGCCAGAGGCAGGAACAGAGAGGGCATACAGGGACAGAGTATGGTTGGGTGCTGCATGATGGGAGGTGGTCCTCTGATGCTAGGGATCATTTCCCCCTCCCTCCCCCACCTCCCCTTCCTGGCACAGTGGCCCTGCCATGCCTCCTCTGAGGAACTTGTGGGGTCCTCTGACAGGGCAGGGGGGTGAGAGGGGTTGAGATGAGCCGGGGCTCCCACTTACCCTCTGGTTCTGCCCACATCCCAGGGAGGAGGATCGGGAGAAAGAGGAAGAGGAGGAAGTGAGTGGTCTGCATGGCACATGCGGCAAGGCCAAAGAAGCAGCAGCAGTGGCTGTGGGAGGAGGAAGAACCCGTGGGATCCCAAGCTTCAACTCAGCCCAGCTCTCACTGCAGTGGCTCTCCACCTATCAGACCAGAATGAATGTATCAGGGAGTGGCTGAGAGGTCCCAAGCAAAAGGCTGGAGATGTCTGGGAAGGACAAAAACTGAAATAAGGTCTTCAGCATGATGTGCCATGACAGGCTAGGGCTGGGAAAAGCCCAGCTAGAAGGAGAAGACAGGGAAAGAAATTTCCAGGAAACAGCACAAGGATCTAAGCTGGATTCCCTTGGCACACCCTCCCCACCAATATTACATTGTCCTATCCCTGTTCTTGTGGGATGCATCAGCTCTAATGGAGGTGACTATGGCTTTTGGACTTCAGATCTGACTGCAGAAAGATGCTTGCTATCCTCTCTGCCCCCACATAGGGAGAAGGGATGCTTTGGGTCACCCCTCGCGCAACTCCTGGCACCTTCAGCTCAGGATGCTCCTGCATCACTTGCCTAACTCTGGGGATGGGGCTCCCCGGGAGGAAGTGACAAGCTGTTCCACCTAGTCCCAAGATGTAGGACACTGCTGGTGGGCCCCAGCTCTGCAATAAACACCTAGGGATGGGCCTGGCAACTCTCCTTTCCTTCCCACCAGCTTTGGTGTGGGATCCAGTCTCCCTCCCCAAAAGACCCCTTGCATGGGAAGAGAAATGATGGGAGCTATCCCCCTGCTCTGTCCCCCCTGGCATCAGTATGCAGTGCTGGAGGGATGATGGGGTGACCAGAGTCAGCCTTTCCCACACAATGTCCCTGATGGACTGCTCCTCCCTTCAAAATGCAGTTTCTCTTCCCCTTTTTTGGGTGGTGCCTGTACTGGGGGTGAAGGCATAACCAAAACCACAGCTGAGGGCAAGTCTGAGGGGTGGACCTTGGTAGCATCCAAATACTTTTGCTTCCCTGGAGCTGTCCCAGAGAGAAGTAGGGATGCTGTGGGGGTCTGATAGGCCCGGAAATGGCACCAACTTCTCCAACAGCATCACCCGGGGGATGTCCAGCTATGCCACAACAAAGTCGTTCAGTGAAACCAAACCTTTCAAAGCTACCTGTCCAGACAGATTGGGAGCATGAACTACATGCCTTTCTGTGTGTGTATGTGAACTCTGCTATATTTGATGAGACATGGGTTTCCCTATTTCTCCTTTATTAGGAGCCTTGGTGTCACTTCACCCCCCTGTGCACAGTTGCTTATTTCCATGCAATATGTAAGAACGTGTTCATGTATGCACAGGCACACATGTACTGTTTCTTTCCCCACGTCTTGGTGCTTCCTGCAATTAGCACCAAAAATTCAGTGGTTGTTTGAGCTTCCATACATGCCTGATACAAACCTCTCCAAGCCCATCCAACTCCTAAGGAAAGGCATATGTTCCTAGTGAAAACAGGAATGGTTTATTTTCATTTAATACACATCTGCAGCTCCCACACATTACACAAGAGTTTCAGTGTAAGTGAGCACTTTGTAAAGCCATTTCTGGTCAGGTTCTGTTAGTCTGTGTGGAACAGTTCAGTCTCAACACAAATATTTCTGGAATATGGTTAATAAAGGCAATTTTTAAGAAAAAAATACTAGAAAGGGACAGTAGAAGAGTATAGCTTTCCACCTACTGACAAAAGTGTTACTGTACTAGAGCTGGGAGAATTTTCCATTAGGCCTTGAGGTGCCTTAGGGCATCAGTGGATGCACAGGTCAGTGCCACAAGCTAAGAGGTGATCATGTGTAACAAGTGAGAAGTTCTCAGACTTTTATCTATTTAGAAAATGCAAGTGCGTCAAAAGCTGTGCATCTTTGAATCGAGTTAGTCTCACAATTGGCAATGCCCAGAACTTAGGTGAAGCAGAAAAATGTAGTTCTTGCTGCTGTGAAGGCAGTGGAAGGGAATGGGGACTGTTGGCTCCCTCCTGAGCTATGCTTGTTTGCTTAGGATGGAGTTCCTGGACTCCGATTCCGCCATCTGCTGGTGCTTTCTGAAATGAGAGGGGGACAGCTGATGGATGCTCCATGGCAGAAACCTTGTGGGAGTGCAGACAGCATCTGGCAGGATCAAAGCAAGAGCTTTGCTGCTCAGTGTAGAAATACCCTGGGCATTTCCTCCCCTCTTCTCTCACTGCTGCTCCACAGAGCAGTCAGGGACTCACCTTTGTCTGCACACCCAAAGCACTGATACGGCAGCTATAGCCATGGCTGCAAGCAGCCCTGTCATAAGCCCTGTGATCAGCATCACTTCTGAGTTCCCTGGGAAACATGAGGAGAAGCTGCCATGAACTTTGTGGGGTTTGCTCCATCTTGTGGGGCAGGGTGGCTCAGGATCCCCATCTTATCCCCATGGGTAGCACCTACCCCATGGGATGAGAAGGCTGCGGTTGCCCAGGCTGCGGTGGCGCACACGGCAGACATAGCTGTGCCCATCATGGGGGGCCACGGCCAGGATGCTGCGGAGCTGGTAGGTGAGGTCAGCATTGGGCAGGATGGTGCTGGTGTTGAGCACTGGGCCCGGAGGCACCTCATGGCCATCCCGCAGCCAGGCTACGCTGATGGGACGGGGGTAGAAGCCGGTGACGTGGCAAACGAGCAGCAGCTGGTCTAGGCTGGGGATGCGGGCGAAGACTGTGGCCACAGGCAGCTCTGGGGAATGAGAGAAAAGGGATGGGGAAAGCCCCGGTGGGACATGGCTTGGCCCCAGTGTGAAGGGCTTTGGGGTGGCTGTTGCAGGGTCAGTGTGATCTCACCTTGTCTCTCCAGAGCTGCCCTCCCATAGTTCAGTAACACCTCCATGTCATCAACACAAGTATCATTGAAGAGAACTTCCACCAGCTCACTCAAGGTAGTGTAGTTCTGGAGAACTGACCAGACATACCGTGACAAGTTGGTGTCCTGGGAGAGGGTCCAGCTGGCATTCTCTGTGTCAAAGCTGAGGAAATCCTGACCATTGTAACCCACATAGGCAAAGGTCCGTGAGGTTCTGTTGGGGTAGAGCTCACAGCCTGCCATGCACTGAGCCACAAAGGGGTCTGGTGGGGCAGAGAGGAGAGAGAGGTTACATGAGGGGCTGGGCATTCTTGTAGACATGGTTAGTATCTCCTGCCAGCACTATAGCATCCTTCCCCACTTCCCATCTGCTGCTCAGAGAGGGGATGTAGTGAAGAAAGTGTACTCACAGGGGACGTCCCTTTGCATGGCACCTTCATTGATCAGATGGCTGAACTGCTGCAAATAGATCTTGAGCAGGTTGTCAATGGTATCCCAGTCACTCTGAGGCAGAGCTGGGCACACCCAGGGCTGGTAGAAGTGGATGGACCATGTGTGTTTATCAAGAGAACCAAGTTCGATGTCTTCCAGCAAGCCCAGCCCCTCTGTGTGCACGAATGAGGTGTTTTGGAAGGTGGTAGTCTGGAGCAGCCGGATAGTGAAGGTCCCTACATGAGACAAGGGTTGACAAGGAGGAGATGGGACTGGGAGAAGAAGGCTGAAGAAAGTGGAGGGGCTGAGGGGATTGGTCCTTGAGGTTGCAGGGAACCATGGGCCCCCCATAAGCCCCTTACACCCTTTGCAGCCTCAGCTCCCACCCTCTGCACTCAACGGAGTTGTCTGCATCCCTGCTGGGGAGGAGGTGTGGAGCCAGAGGACAAAGAGGGGTGAGGAGGCAAGTGCCTAAGGTGGGAGGGGGGTGGAGAGCAGGAAGCCTCTGCCCTATAGAGTCCCATGGAGGTTGATGTGTATGAGCCAGGGGTTCCACTTACCCTCCGGGTTTGCCCATGTCCAAGAGAAGAGGAAGAGGTAGAGGAGGAAGGAGAGAAGGCAGCAGCAAGGGGACTTCATGGCTCCAGCAGTGAGGCCCAGAGTGTGCAGTAGTCGATGCAGCTGCAGGGAGAAGAGATTGTTGCAAGATGTGGCCTCAGATGCCTTCCCAGGCTGGTTCTGCCCGGGCAGCTCTACTGGTGCTAATGGCCCTGGCAGCCAATGGGACTGGCACTGAGGTTTAGGGGAGGGCTCTGAGGTTCCCCCTTGGAGCAAGCTGGGGCATCCTGAGTATGGCTGTGAGTGCTGAGGGAATTTGATTGTGAGCAAGCTCATCCCATTGGTGCAGGAGCAGTCCCTCATGGCTGCAGCAGTGATCTTGACAAATAGCATGATGGGGGTGAACTCTTTTTCTACCCCACTTTCAGGTGGACGTGTCACTTGGCCATGGGCTACATCCACTGCCCTGATAGGAATGTGCCTTATTCATGCCTGGCATGTCTGGCCCTGCATAGAATAGACATTGCCACCTGTTCTGCATTGCCAGGTGGGTTCACAACAATGTGGCAGGGCAGGGAAACCCTATTTCTACCATAGGGCCTCGTGCCTGGGCTCTCTGTGGCCCCAGGCTGTGTACTGGTCCCATGCCTCTTTGTCACATCCCAACCATCCCACATCCAGGCCACTCTGATGTGCCACAGGCATATGTGCCAGTGATATGGCAAACGTGCTGGAGAGCTGGGCCATGGCCTTGGAAAGCTCTGAGGGGTGAGAGTGATAGACAAGAGCTGATGGTGGTATCCCCTGACCCCTCAGCACTGCTGGTCTGATCCTGGGGAAGAGACTTCCCAGGAAGTGATTAGCAGTTCCAGCCTGGAGCACAGCTGTAGGTGTCAGGGATGGCTCCAGAACAGCTGGCTGCAGGACCCAGTACTCCAGGATCTCTTCTTGGGGTTTAAGAAGGGAATGGACTAGACCAGCTTTAGTGTGGTGGTCAACAAGGGGAGAGATGGGCTGCAACGCCTAGAAAGGACTGTTTCCCACTGACAGTCATCCAACTCCTGGAGCAGTGGCAGTTGGCTGGACAGGATGTTCAAGCTGGGATGGGACCACACCATTAGGCCCATTCCAGGGACTTGCAGTTTATGTGCAATTTCTCCCCTTTCCATGGAGCTCTATCCATGCTGTGGGTCCTGGGAGCTGCCTCTCTGCTTCCCTGCACCCCACAGGGTTGGGGAGTCCAAACTCTGCCCTAAACACCTCCGAAGGGGAGGGCCTGAGGATTGGCTGCAGCACAGCAACTGCCCTTTCCTTCCCCCCAGCTTTAATGAGGAATCCAGTCCCCCTTCCCAGAAGGTCCTCTGTGCATGGGAACAGAAAATGGTGGGAGCCATCCCCTTGCTCTGTCCAAACTGGCACCAGTGTCCAGTGCTGGAAGGACAGTGTGGAGACCAGAGCCAGCCTCACCGCCACAATGTCCCATATCCACTACTACTCCCTCACCTGGTATTTCTCTCCCCCTTTCCTGGGGTTGCCCAYGTTGAGGGTGAAGGCAGAGCCAAAACCACAGCCGAGGGGAAGTTTGAGGTGGGGTGCCCTGATAACAACCAAAAACAACAGGGGCAGATGTATCCACATGGGTATGTGATCCTTCCAAGCACAACTGGGACCAGGTGCCACTGCTCCATGTTGCCAGCTGTAGGGACATGGGGAAGGCCTATAGGGGGCTGCTGCAGGCTGAGCTCCAGCACCCCATGACACTGAGTCAGACATGGGGACAAAAGGACACCAAACCCCTTCCCTTCCCTGGAGCTGTCCCAGAGAGAAGTAGGGATGCTGTGGTGGCCTGATAAGCCCAGAAATGGCACCAACTTCCCCAACAATATCACCCAGGGGATGTCTGGCTATGCCACCACAAAGTCCAGATCCCTCCCACTAGTCCTAGACCCAGAGGAGAGTGTTTGGCTGTCAGGATGGCAAAGCACAGCCATTGGGCAGCCAGGGAGGGAAGAGCCAAGGGGACTTTTGTCTCTGCAGTTCTGTGAGGTGATCACTTGTGCCCATGGTCTCCCCTAAGATGACTGTTGCTGAGCAGCTGAGAGGCCATTCACAGCCCTCTGTCCTGTGCAGGTGCATGGGACACTAGTGGTATCTAAGCTGCTTGTAGGAGGCATCTGGCTTGTACGGGTGCTCACAGTGTATTTAGCCCCCTTGGAATTTCCTCCAGATGTCTCCTCACTGTTCCAGTGGATCTGCTTTAAAGTTCTGCTGTTGAATATACTTCTCATATTTGGGGTTTTCCACTTTCTTTTTAACTCACAACTTCTTCCTCCTTCATACTGTCACTTCTCTGGTCTGAAAATGACCCAAGGGGACAGGGTACTGTCCATTGGTCCTCACAGTCCTCTCAAGTGGCTGTGGTCTTCAGAGTCACTGCCAGGTCCCCACAGTTCCCTCAGGTGACATTGGTCCTTTCAGTCCTCTCAAGTGATTGCTGGTCTTCACTTTCCCCCTGTCCCAAGGAACTGTAAGACTTTGAAGCTCTCATGTGGCCACTGGTCCTGGAAGACCCCACAGGTGACATTGTGTTATGGGTTCGGGAGGTTGCCCATACACAAAAAAATCAAGACACACTCAGAATTGAAGGCAAATTAACAGTTATTAGTCACAGTAGCAATTAATACATACTGACCCCTGTATACTGAAGAAGCCAATGAGCAGAAGAAGGACATGGAGCATGGCTTCTGAGCTGGAAGGGTAGGTAGGGAGCATACCTTCAGGGATTAACACAGCATGCATCATCTTCCTTTCCTCTCCACCCCAGGACTACACCTTATATCCATCTCTTCCTCAGGAGTTGCCAGTTACATCATCTCACACAGGGCCAAGATGTGAGATGAGGTCACAATGACCCATGATACCATCTCCATGCCAACAACGTCTTTAATGTGTATTATTCCCCTTTCACAAATTGAATCCCACCAGGTGACTGATACATAGTTTCATTTTTGAAGGTTAAAGTCCTATGAACTAACAATAAGATCTTCTTCTGCATTGTCTTATCAACAGGCACAACAGCGGACCAAATATGGCAGGCCTTAGACATGGGGTCCCTGACACACACTAGTCCTTGCAATCTCCCCTGAGGTGAAGGCTGTAACCCTCGAAGCCATGGCTGGGTGAATTGGGGTGGGGTGGACAGGGATGCAGTTTCTCAGGGTGCTGTACTAAGTGCGTGGGCAGCAGCATCCTCTGCACTGGGACAAAGTGCCTGAAGAACCCACTCAAAATGCCTAGGTGGGGTGTGTTATTGTAAGGTCTCTTGGGGGATGTGAGCAAACGCTTGCAGACTCCTCTCTGGTACAAGGTGTTTATAGATGTTGTACTGTAGGATCTCTTGGGAGGTCATTCACATGACATTCACCCTTTCCTCAATGAGTTTGCTCCCTGGCTGCCCCTGTGTCATGATCTGGTTATGAAGGTTATTAGAAATGCCTGTGCCCAAATAAAGGTGCAAATGAGACCATATGCCAATGTCAATAATATGAGTTTTATTTGATAATAAATATGACAGAAAGTGAGAGAGAGAGAGAGAGAGAGAGAGAAAGAGAAAAAGAGAGAGAAAAAGAAAAAAAAGAAGAATAGAAGGTGGGGGAGGGGACAGAAGGAGAGTGACAGAGACAGAGTAAAGAAAATATCATCATCTATGCATCCCAGTGATGTTCCATTGGTGTTCTCCAGCTGGTGTTCCTGGTGGTGATGCCTCTCCCCTCCCCCCCCCCAAAGCATAGAGTCTGTTGGGCTTTTATATGCTCAGGCCAGGTGCCCATGTCCAGGTACATCCCCCACAGGGAGGGGGCAGTCTCTTGCAACAGATTCTGGATCTGTTGCATCACGTGCAATCTTGTGGTGCAAGGCCACTGGAGGGTCTTTGGTGGCTTATGACACCCCCTCAGCTGCGTCTCACGTGAATGTCCCATGGATGTGGCCTGTGGGGTTAGGGGTTCCACAGCTGGGCCAGTCTGTGTAAGGGAGGATGGGTGTTCACTGCCTCTGACCAGGGATTACACTTGAAATGTCCCTCCACTCTCATTTTGGGGCGAGGCTGTGTAAACCTGGCTATAGTGGACTGTGATCTTCCCCACCCCAAATCCAGCCAGAGGTGACTCTCAGCATGGCTGCTGCGTTTGACTCTCCTGTGGATGCGTTCCTTTCCCTCAGCCTTGTTTGTCTTTCCTTAGGCCTGAGATAATTGAGCAATACCGTCTTATCTTGGTGGTTTCTTACAATCCAAAGACCCAGCCAGGTATCTTCTGGGAGGCTTCTTTGGTTGTAGCATCTTTAGATAGTTTTTTTAATAATGAAAACCACTTTATATCAATGTTTGAAGCATGGACAATTTCAGTCTCTGACAACCTGCTTTCCAGGTTTGCCCTGTCCAATGAGTGCTGCAGGATGTTCTCTGCTTGGGAGAGAAATTGCCATATTTGCCCAGTGGGTGCCAAGGCTGCAAGGAGGCATGTCCACACCTGAGTTTCATCTGTCTGTCCCAARTCACCAGGGAGAGGCTTGGCACCAGTCCTCCTGCAGCAAGGTCCTTGAGCCCTCTGATATCAGCAAGTGACTCTGGCTGCCACGGAAATGCAGTCCTGACTCCAGCATTGTGGTTTTCAGGGACTGGCCAGAGGAGAAAAACCACCACTGGATTTATGGTGGATGTGGCCAGAAACCAGCCAGATTTTCTGGCTTCCACAATGCTGCTAGATTTATCCTGGGAAATTTTGCAGGAAGCTGTCCAGTAAAACATGTTCAGATTGATTGGGAGCATGAACTACATGCCTTTSTCTGAGTGTGTGAACTCTGCTATATTTGATGGGACATGGGTTTCCCTATTTCTCCTTTATTAGGAGCCTTGGTGTCACTTCACCCCCCTGTGCACAGTTGCTTATTTCCATGCAATATGTAAGAACGTGTTCATGTATGCACAGGCACACATGTACTGTTTCTTTCCCCACGTCTTGGTGCTTCCTGCAATTAGCACCAAAAATTCAGTGGTTGTTTGAGCTTCCATACATGCCTGATCAAAACCTCTCCAAGCCCATCCAACTCCTAAGGAAAGGCATATGTTCCTAGTGAAAACAGGAATGGTTTATTTTCATTTAATACACATCTGCAGCTCCCACACA